TATTCCACTTAGCAGGATGCCTTCAAGGTTCATCCATGTTGTAGCATGTGTCGGAATCTCCTTCCTTTTTAAAGCTGAACAATAATTTCACTACACGTATAGGCCACGTTTTGCTTATGCATCCATCCATCAATGGGCACATGTGTTGCCTCCACCTTTTGGTTGTTGTAATGCTGCTATGAACATGGGTGTATGGTTTCTCTTTGAGACCCTACTTTTAATTTCTTGGGGGTATATATTCAAAAGTGGAATTGTTGACTCATATGGTAATTCTGTTTTTAATTTTGAGGAACTGCCATACTATTTTCCACAGTGGCTGCCCCATTTTACATTCCCATTGACAGGGCCCCAGGGTTCCAATTTCTGCTCATCCTCACCAACACTTGTTATTTCATTTACTTTTTCTGGCATTTTCCATAGTATCCATCCAAATGGGTTTCAGGTAGGAGCCTTTCCTTTTGACTGATCCTTATCAATTTTTTAAGGTCGTTATGTTAGTGTCCTCTCATATTCTCAGCCCTCCTACCTTCCACACCCTCCCTAGGCGACACTTTCTCTCACCTCAGACCTCAGTTACACCTACAGATTTTCTACTCCCGTAGCTAGTCTGGGTCCCTGAGCTCTAGGCTTCCATATCCATTTGAATGCTGGGCAGCTTAAATATATTATATTGCACATAAATATCTGTGCAATCATTGAGAGCAAAACCAAACACACTTTCCCTAAAACCTGCTCTTGCTGTGTTTCCTGACTCAGTGAAAGAATTCACTATCTGGGAAGATAGGCAAGCCGTTAACATAGGGAGTTAGCTTGGTTTTTTCCCTTCTCCCACCTTACTGCTGCCCCGTTTTCTTGTATCCATGACGTTGTCTTTTTCGTTGCCGCTGCCCAAATCTACTCAATTTGTACTCCTTTGCTCTTCCTTGTTGAAGTTTAGCCCAGAAGCTCTCTCAGCCTGCAATCTTTCATCCCTGTGATAATCTAGACACCTGCCTGAGTTTTCCTGCTCCAGTATAGGCCTATATTACTCCTCTACTTAAAACCTTGGAACATATGTGGAAGAGAACCCTGGTGGTGCAGTGCTAAAGACACAAGAGACCCAACCCCTGGGTCAGGAAGATCTCCTGGAGTAAGAAATAGCAACCTACTCTACCCGATCCAGCATTCTTGCCTGGAAAATCCCATGGACAGAGGACCTGGCAGGTTACAGTTCATGGGACTGCCAAGAGCCGGACACGATCGAGTGACTGAGCACAAAGGGACCAAGAATAGCTGATTCGAACTTCTCATGAAGATAATAGTTTTATACTGACAACAGGCATAGACTAGAGAGCCCGGAAACAAACCTGTGCATGTCAGAAACTCTGGCATACGACTCTGATAACCATGAAGGTACCTTACTCAAAATTCCCTCCAAGAGCACTTGGGGCTAGGAGCACAGTTAGTGGACAATCTCTAGGTCTCGCCCAGATTAGAAGACAGCGGCTTTATAGCCACTGCAGCATTCGTGCAGAGACCACACTCTCTCCCAAGGCTGCTTTGAGCCAGTGACTGAGACGGCTGGGGTAGAGGAGCAGAGCCATTTCTGTCTGACATGGGTCTTCGCTAAGAGGCAAACTTTTTCTCTGAGGGTCCCCAGTGACTTTGTCAACGTTATCTCCGAGTTGCACCAAGTTGGAGGCAATTCCTAGCCAACCCTCCTTGCCCACTTCCCTTTTCACAAGTGTCCAACATGTATTGTGGGATTTTTGCCTATTCCTGTCCTCTTTCACCCTTCACAAATTTTCCTTCAATTCCTCTCTTGATCTTCTAAGGACCCAAATTACACGATGACACAAGGAGCATGTCAGATTAAATGGGAGACACTGTGTGGAATTGTTCAATGAATGGAACTTCAAAATAATGATTATAAATGTGGAAAAATATGAAATTGGATCCCTACCCTATATTTGTATAATATTTAACTTCAGGTAGATTAATGACTTAAATTTCAAATATTAAGTTTAAAAACTTTTAGTACACTCCATGGTTGAGTATCTTTTAGAATCTGTGATTTAGAAGTTGAGGTAGGAAAATATTTCTTAAACAATACACACACACACACACTCCATAAAATTAATCACTTTTTGGAATTCCCTGGTGGTCTAAAGGTTAGGAATCTGTGCTTTCACTGTTGAGGGTGTGGGTTTAATCCTTGGTCCAGGAACTAAGATCTCAGAAGCCATGAGGTACTGCCAAAAATAAATAAATAATTATAAAAATTAAGCACTTTGTTCATTAAAGGCATTTAAAGAGACAGCTTATAAACTTGGAGGAAATATTTGCAATATACATAACTGAGAAAGGATCAGCATCAAGAATTCCTTAAAATCAATGAAAAAAAGCATACATAACCTAATAGAGAAATGGACAAAAGATATAAACAAGCATTTTTCAGAAGAGAAAACACATATGGCTATGAAATATGAAGAGACACTCAATCTTATTGATTATTAAATGCAAATTAAGTCCACACTGAGCTAACATTTCGATTGATAAGTGTAAAAAGTCTGACAAAGCAAGTGTTGAAGAAGTTATGGATCTACTCAAAAACCTCCTACATAATGCTAATGGGAGTGCAAATCTGTGTATCCACTTTGGAAAAAACGTTTGACATTATCTTCTAAAATTGAATACTCACATACCCCATGACTCAACAAACCTACTTTTACGTATAGACTCAAACAAACCAAAGAAAGCTCTTGTAAATCTGTAGCAGAAGAGTATAATAATGTTCATAGCAGCATTGCTCACAGTAGCAAAAACCTAGAAGAAACTCAAATGTCCATTCCTGAGAAATCAGACAAAATCTGGTATGTTCACCAGCTGGAATCTTATACAAGAGTGAAAATGAATGAACTAAATACATAAAGTATGGCTGAATCTTTGAATGTATGAATTTCATACAGTGTATGAATGTTACAGTGTATGAAAATAGCTCAAAAAGATACAGACACAATTTCCCCCCCCCTCCCACTTTGTAATGAACTTTATTTCTGAGAAGTTTTAAGGTTACAGAAAAATGGTGCAGAAAGTACAAAGTTCCGATACATCCTCTCTCTACCACAGAGTTTCCCCTATTGCCACTATCTTGTGGTACATTTGTTGCAAACAATGGGCCAATGTTGACATATGATTACTCACTAACAGTTCATAGTGTACATTAGCATTCACTCTGTGTTGTACATTCTATGGGATCCACCATTACAATACCACACAGAATAATTTCACCACTGGGTAAAAATGACCTGTGCTCCACCTATTCATCCTCCTCTCTTGCAACCATTCATTTTTGTTTTTTAAGAGTCCTGCCAACACCTTGGTTATAGTTCAGGGAAACTCAGTTCAGAACTCTAAGATAATACATTCCTGTCGTTTTAAGCCATTAAGACTGTTAGAGCAACAATAGGAGATAAATAAAGTGGGCCAGGCATGGATCCATAATGAACTGCATTATGATAAATACAGTACTGTACCCAGGTCAAGAGAATAAATCCCTTGAAAAGCTCTTTATGGACTAGTAGACAAAGCCCAAACTCCTCAGCATGGTGTCAATCCTTAACAACATGGTTCTAGGAACCCCCTGCTCTTCTTATCGCCTTATCCGATGAGTGAACGGATGGAGAGAACTTCGAAACTTGTAAAGCAATTTTCCCTGGGGCTTCTCTGGTGGCTCAGTGGTAAAGAATCCGCGTGCCAATACAGAAGACGCAGGTTCGATCCCTGGAGAAGGAAATGGCAACCCCATTCTAGTATTCTTGCCTGGAACATCCCATGCACAGGGGATCCTGGCGGGCTACAGAGGTCACAAAGAGTCGAACACGACAGGGCACGACCCCCAAAGCAATTTACATGCCACCAACCCAGGCTCGAATACCTATTTCAGGGAAAACGCGCCCAAAGGACGCGGCCGGCAGTTGGGGAAAGTCGGAAGGATGCTCCGGCGAGCGTAGCTTGCAGCTCAGCGCGGGTCCAAGGTCCACTCTATCCCCTTCACCTGTCGCGCGGGGTGGCGGTTGATTACAAGAGGCCGGCCGTTTTGGTTAATACTGTGGGGCCAGAAAGCCCCCGAGGGCTCGGACACCACGCGGAGTCCAGAGCACTGCCTTTAGCCGCAATTGAAGAAACCGCTCTCAAGCTGGATGGAGGCGGAGCGGTAGCTCCCGCAGAGCCAACAGAAGAGCCTTAATATGCCAGGAGCAGTGCTAGGACAGCCCCCAGCGCGAGGCACTCTGGGACTTGTAGTCTACCTCCGAGACGGGGCTTTCCCCCACCTCGTTTCCCCGCCTCTTAGTGTAGCTTTTATTCTGCCCCCGCTCCCCTCCCAGCACGCCGACTTCCTGGTCGCCGCACGCCTCACAGACGACTACACTACCCAGAAGTCTCTTCTCCGCGTCCCAGCACCCCGCTGGTGCCGGCCGTCTCCTTTGGACTACAGTTCCCAGAAGTCTCCTGGAGAAGTGACTCCCTCTCTCATTTCTAGGACCACAATTCCCAGACATATCAGCTTCCCGGCGGTTCTCTCTCTCTCTCTTTTTTTTTTTTTTGACTCGAGCTGGTTGGGTTTCGCCGACCGGCCGGCGCACAGCGACGACGTGGTTCGCCGTGACACCGCACAGGGTTCCCTTAGCGGCCCGTCTTCCTCCCCTCTTAGCGATCCCCTTTGCAGGCCGTCGCCGCCGGCCTCAGCAGTGACCTGGCGGGCCGCGCCTGCGCTCTGCCCCGTTTCCTGCCTGGCTGGTGGCGGCGGCCATTTTGTCCATCCTCCTCCTCCTCCTGCTCCTCCTGGTTGGAGCGCAGTGTCCGGAGCGGGCTGGGGGGAGAAAGCCCGAGAGCAGGGTTCGGTGCCTTTTCCTCTGTCCCCAGCCGGTGCCCGGAGCCCCCCTCCCCTTCCTCCCCACCCCCTCCCCTCCCCAGCCCTGCCCTCCCCCTTGTCCCGGGATCGCTCCGTCGCACCCACCATGATGGAAGACGACGGGCAGCCCCGGACTCTGTGAGTACCCGAGACGGAGGGGGTGCCAGGCGCTGGGAGGCCCCCTGGCACCGCGGGACGCTGTGGGAGGGAGCCGGAGCGCGGGGCCGAAGCTGGGACTTCTCGGTGGATCCCTGGCCGCGGTGGCGCGGACGCGAAGTGCATTCCTCATCTGTCCCTTTTTTCCTTGGAAGGGAAGCCCTCCCTTCCCCCCCCAAACACAGTCACTTCCTGGGGTCCGGGGCTCGCTTTGACCTTTCCCTCTCGCGCCCTTCTTTGCACCCCCTTCCTAAGCTGGGTTTCTGCACGGCAGAACCTGTCAGGCCCGGGAGAGCTTCTGCTCTCAGTCTGCTTTGGGAGCCCTGGGCTGGGCCGGGAGCTGCTGGTCCCCCCCCACCCCCGCCCGACCATGGGGGCCGGGCCTGGTGGGGGTGGGCCTGGGGGTGGGATCGCAGCCGCCTCTCCTTGTGGGTCGCGAGGAATCGGCACTCGCGCCCTCCACGTCCCCGGCTCCAGTTGCTGCCGGCTTTTCTCCCTAAGTTGAACTCCCGAAGGGAGCCGGACGCTCGCCCGCAACTCTAGCCCCTGCTCTCTTTCTGCCCCACGTGCCCGCGCCCACGCTGTCAGAAACACCCGCCCAGCGCCCGCTACTTTGAGAGTGAGAAAAGGATGCCTCTTGCCGCCGGAGCATCTTTTCCCTTCTTGGATGATGAAGTTTACTTTGAGCGCTATCTACGCTAAACTGACAACCAGTTGTTAAACTGCTTTTGCTCTCATTGGTGTTACCTCCTTCTAATCTGTTTCTTGGGTCGAGACCTTCAGAGTTGGATAAGTAGAGGTTTTGTTTTTGTTTTTTTAATCAGCCCTTCGATGTGTGTCTTTTGAGTGCTCTTTCTTCGATCTTGCTGTCGCTCTTTATCTGAAGCCCAGTGTAATGAATGAATTTCATCTTCCAATCGCCTTTTCCAGTTTCCTTGCCTTTCTACTGAAGAGTGATGACTCAGCATTTGCATTCCTTTGCAAATAGTGTGGCATTCCTTTCTTTTTTTCCTGAAAAAAAATTTTTTTTTCTTGGAAGTGTGAGTAATTCCTAGTTAAATGTTTAAGTTGGGTACCTTGGGTTTTCCTAACGTTTCGAAGCTCAGCACGCCTGCCTCCACTGCAGGGAGTCAGTCAGGTCGCTGCTTTGTTTTCTCTTGCCTCTGCCTGGTATTGATAGGATCATAGTCCACTTGGCTGTACTATCTGATGGCGAAATTACTTTGGGGGGAATAGACGAAGGTGGATGGGTACTCAGGAAGTTTGACCAGTTTCTCTTCTCTACTCCTAGCAAGGAAGGTGTGTTCAGTCAAGAAGGCAGATATCTGTGTTCAGTATTGGTAATCTGTGTTCAGTATTGGTACAAGTTTGGCTTCTTGTCTTGTTGGGAGGGGGGGAGATTACACTCTTTTGTTCCTGTTTCTTTAATGTCTCCCTAAAGTATCCACTATTCTTTTTGAGAATTTGAGGCCAGCTTAAGCACATCAAATGCTTAATTGAAAAGCCTGCTTAATAGAAGTTTTCAGTGTATGTTTTGTGCTGTCTTCCATTTCTGCTGTCTTTTCCCAGAAGAGAGAATTGGGACAAGCTTGAAATTTGTCCTCTTGACATCTGTTGAAGCCAAGACTTGGGATTTGGTTAGCAATGTGTTCTTGGAAGGAAGCATCTGGGAAGGCTGAATTTAGGCCTAGCAAGCAAGCATGTATTTAACAAAGAGAAAAGTTACATTGTATTTAAAACTCTGAAGTGTCATCATTGCATCATGATAGCTCCTGAATAATTGGTAAATTCTCGAGACACGTTTCACTTCTGTGTCCCTTATGAAGAATTCCTGGTTTTTGTCATGCTAAATAAAATGCTATTGCAGTACCTTCAATTCATATAACTACTTTGCCTCTGCCTTCTCTTCCATCCTTGTCTGACCTTACTCTACAGACTAATTTCTTTGTCACTTAAGAATTCTTACCTCAACCTTCTCCAAAGTCCTGTTCTTTCTCAGTATGTTTACAGCTGTCTAAAACTGTGACATATATACATGAAGTACTGAAACACCTTGAGCTTGGTTGTACCCATATGTCAGATGTCAGCACATGTTTGCTAGTCTTCCTTTTCCTTCTCCCACTCTTCTCTATGGGAAGGTTTGTTGTTTTTTTTTTTTAGACAAGGACTGCTACATCTTCCTAGGTCTTACCCCTGCCTGGAACGTAAGAGGTACTCAAATATTTTACAATGATTTTACTTCTTTTCACTAAATTTAATATTAAGTCCGTTTTTTAAGAAATCCTGATCGATTTAAAATTATATATAGGCAGACATGGTCATATATGGTGTGGTCTGTTGATTTATATATATATATTTTAAACCTCAAACGTACAATTTTGAGATAAAAGCGAATGTTTCACAATTGCATTTTTGTCAGATTTTAATAAAAGTAATGCATATTTTATATATTCTCAAAAGGTTCTTTTAGATACAAGTAACATGATGAAAAATTTGAAGGTGACTTTAGAGATTGATATCTAGTAGGGGTTTTGTGTATTTATGGAGATCCTTCTTTTATTTTACATTGTGATCTTTGGTTTGGGCTTTAAAGTGGTTGGTATGTTTTAAAACAATGTACTCTTAACAAAGTTTATCTTAAACTGTTTCCTTAAAATGCCTGTGTGTTACTAGTGAGGTTTTTTTCCTGCAGACACACACAAGCTAAGACATATGGTTCTATCATCAGAAAACAATATGGTGTTTATAGCCTAGGTAGGTCTTTAAATATTCATTACCTACAGTATTACTAATTTATTTGATGGTATTTAAAGTGATATAGAATTGCTTTGATGTTGAGCCTAAAGTTTGTCATATAGTTGCTTTGAAGGTCTGTTTTCTGATGTTCTTTGTTCTTATTTGACATTTGCGGGGTGGGGGGTGGGGGGAGCTAATATATATTGGGTAATTTGAGATCTAAAAAAACAAATGAGAAAAATTCTGTGAAAACTGGTGTTGGAAGGGGACTGCCCAACACCTACCTTGTAGGATTCACATTTCAGATTTGTGTTGTGGATAACTTTGAGTGCAGTGATTTGATCCATGGTATTTCTGAATCTGTTACACAGCATTAAATTGTAATGGTGTTCTACTGTAGTTTTATTTTCTTCATCTATTCGATGTACCACAATGAATAGGAATTGTGGATCTGGGATTATACCATGTTGTACAGAGCCATCTTTTAGACTGTTTTCTTCCTAATAGAGACTCAGTCAAAAGGAGGAAATAAACCATTGATTTAGGGTATAATCTGACCATCCAAGGGCAATAACAGAAGTAAATACTATTAAATCCTATTATAAAATTGATTAGCTGTACCAAGGGTTTGGCTGTATTGGGCCTGTAATTAAATTAAGCCTCTCATTCAATTTAATCATGTTCTGTTTCTCTAAAATGTATGTGTATGTGCGTTAATATTCCTTATATAGTTGGTCAGTTCACTTATACTTCCTGTACCTTTCTTCTGCCCTGCCTCCTTCCTAAAATGAAATATTGATAAATTGATCAGTTCATTAGAGGCCCATTGAAGGATATTGTTGCAAAATCTTCTCTTACATAAGAATTTGCAAGAACAAAACCAAAAATGTTACTTAGCCATAGCATCTTGTGTAAAAGTGCTGATAATTTTGGCCTCTGTAGGGCTAACCTTTTCAGAGTGAGAGCAGAGTCAGTGATGGAAAGTGTGATTAGTCTTCTGAAAGGCATGGTGTTCTTAAAATTCTGCCCAGTTCGACATAGGAAGTAGTTTGGCAATGTGGACTTTTGCCTACTGTGAAACTGCCAAGTTCTAGTCTCAAATTTGATTTTAACCCTGAGGTTAGGGATAAAGACACTATTTTCCATTTTTAACGTGTTAATTCCTATAGTTCCTGTTCTTAGAAGACAAAATAGGCCAAACGTATGCTTTTTCCCCACCTTGAGTTAAAAAGTGTTTTAGAATTTCCTAAGTATTTTCTCTTTGAATTGCCCAGATACAAACATTTGAGCCATTTGTCTTTTTCTGTTATTCTATGTTCTTCAACTAGAAATTTTATATTTAAATCCTTGGAACGTTAGAATATGTTGACTACCTCATAACCAAAGCAGAAAGAAAGTGTAGAAATGACATATAATTTAGAAGGAAAAAGGGTAATATTTCAGTATATTACCAAGATGTGATATTTTTGCCAGGTCAAGCCTTGAATATTTTTGTTAGTGTTTATTTTGGGACAGATAACTTTATGATAATGTCGAGGTACTTCAACTGTGTAGTATAGTGTTTTAAAAGTTGCGAAGTATTTCTGTATTAAGTTGTATGGAGGATGCAGGCAAAGGTAGATAAATGAATTACAGAACTCTGAGTGAAGGAAAAGGCAGTCTTGAGATTTGGGTATAATTTAGGTGAAATTATGTGTTGAATTATATCCTTTTTATCCTGTCGGATTCAGATGTCCTACATGTGGTTATGGAAGGCCATTTTTATATTAGCTTATGAAGTTTGCTCCTTTACCATTGAACTTTTAGTGAAAATATTTGAAAAATAGGAAACCTTAAAACTGGACTCTCTTTCTATAAGTATTTCATGACATTCTAAACTTAAATTAACCTTTTGCTCTTTGTTGCTTGAAATGTAAATTAATATATCTAAACGTGCCTCTAGAAATTCTTCAGAATCTGTATTGATTAGAAATAGATTGACTTGAAATAAAGATCCTATGAAACAGGATGCCCATGCAGTTTTTCCTGGAAAGCTGTTTAAACACTCATACAAACTTAATTTAAATCATTTACAATTTGTTACATAAAAGCGAAAATTTTTACTTTGTTACTAGTTAGCTTTGATACGTGAAACTCCTATTCTCTTAGAAATGAGCTGCTGCTGCTAAGTCGCTTCAGTCGTGTCCGACTCTGTGCGACCCAAAAGATGGCAGCCCACCAGGCTCCCCTCCCTGTCTCTGGGATTTTCCAGGCAAGAACACTGGAGTGGGTTGCCATTTCCTTCTCCAATGCATGCATGCATGCTAGGTCGCTTCAGTCATATCTGACTCTCTGCGACCCTATGGACAGCAGCCCACCAGGCTCCTCTGTCCATAGGATTCTCTAGGCAAGAATATTGGAGTGGGTTGCCATTTCCTTCTCCACTTAGAAATGAGCTAACTATTACTATTTTAGGTTAGACGAGTTTTAACACTTCAGAGACTGAGGTCGCTGTTCTTTATAGCTAGGTCTACCTTGTATAAAAAACTCCAAGGATATAGACTGATAAACCCCTATGGGTTAAAAAAAAGAAAAGAAAGGAGACAGGTGATTGGCTAGCTCAAAAGTCTGTAACCTTTCACTGCTGCTGGGAGTGTGTGCACATTCTACTCATGGGTCTGCTCTACTGTAAATGTAACAAAAAAGGTAGCATAGTGGACCTAAGCCAGTTTGTCACTTGTTTAGTCTTCCATTCAGGTAACATTGCACTTATGTTTCATTTTTAGAGTGTGTTAAAGTTATTAGGACCCATTATGATGAAATTCTTAGATAAACAAGAAAATTGCTGTTCATTCTTAATCAGATTTTCTTTTTTTTAACACTTAACCTTACCTTTCTCAGTCCTGTTTTCCCTTTCAGAGTGTCCCTACTTAAACTATGGCAACTGTAGATGCAAGGCTTATATTGGTCTCAATACATTGTTTCCAGATGTTATATATTATAGTTAGGAAAATAAAGCTTATTTTCCTTTCCAGAAGAAACAGTGTTTAAATTTTACAAATACTGTTTGGTTTATGAGGATCATAGCAGATGTGAGTTTTAGGAATTATACACTGAGTACAGGAAAGACTTAAAAAGTTTATTCAGCTAAATTGAGACAGGCCTGTGATACAAGGTGGTCATCTTTGAGCGGCAGTGTTCTTTTCTTTTAAACTTAACCTGTATATTAAATTTCTTATACTATATATATATATATATATATATATATATATATTCAACCTGTAATAAAAAAAACACACAAAATATTAGATATGTTACAGTCAAAAGTATGCCTGAATTTATCTGTAATTTTTTCTGAATTTCTAGAGAAATCTTTATATTTGCTTTGTTATCTACATAAAGATGTATTTTGCTGATTCTGATGCATTTTAGATGAGGAAATTTTGTTATTTTACCCTGCTCTCCTGAAACAAAATAATGAAGACATACCATCAATGACAGTTTTATTACCAAGACAGCGCAAAATCCTTCAATCTCTTGTGTGTTTTGCTATAACTTTGATTCTGTTCTTTGTTCATGTAATTGCTTTGGTTGAGGGTCTAAGATAAACTAACCTTATATCTGATACCCCTCTATGATTGGGTGTTTTAATGAGTCAATATTTGTGGTACTGTGTGTGTTATACATTATTTTGAATTGTGTTTCACATCTAAACATTGTAGTTTTCTTGAGACTGGTTTAAATCATTATTTTTATTCTAACAGATGAGAAAATGATATATAGTCTACAGAATAATATGCTTTTGGGGGTATGCAAAATCACATTGATTTGCTCTTTTGAAGTGATACTGTAGTGCCCTAAGAACAGTTATGCTTTCCTAGGTGAGAGTTAATCTTACACGCAAAGAATGAGGCTTAATTGGAAAAATTTTATTGAAGAGAGAGGAAGTTGAAATAAAAGAAGATGTGTAAATGATAATGCTTTAGAGCCAGAGCTGAAGGGAAATTGCTGATAGTTTTATTTTTTTTCTCTTCCTATACAGATACGTAGGTAACCTCTCCAGAGATGTGACAGAAGTTCTTATTCTTCAGTTATTCAGTCAGATTGGACCCTGTAAAAGCTGTAAAATGATCACAGAGGTAAGAGCTTCCCAGTTCCACATGCTGACAGTTAGCATAATGTTTAAAATTTTGAGATACATGACTTCATTTGTATCATTTTAAGCCTCAGGTTACTAGATGGAGAGATTAGTGTTTGTTGTGTTGACTTATTTGATTTGACTGACAAACTAGGTTTGGAAGTTGAGAGGACAAAGTTTCTGCACCCTTATTTTCAAATAATCCTTCATGATGATGCTGCTTATAAAAAATTGTTAGAGCTCATCTCAAAATACTGAAAAACTAGGTGATCTTTCATCTATTTACAGTAGGAACGTTACGTTTGGAGCTCAGGGATGGGTGTGTGTAGAACATTGGGTCATTATGAGCATAGTGCCACATAAGCATCTTGAACATTTTTAGTAAATGCTGACTGAACAACTTGATGAAGGTAGGAGTTTGAATTGAATTGTTAATTTGTTTTCCTTCCCCCCCCCCGCCCCAAAATCTTACTTTTTCTATTTTCCTGGTCAGTGACTTGTGTTTCAGTTTATTCTCTTCTTTTTTATTTGTTAACACTTTTTTTGGGGTGGGGGACTATTCAGTTTGTGCCAGGTACCATGGTAAGTGCTAGGGATACAGTGGTGAATAAAACAGCTCCTGGCCCCAGAGAATTTTCGTCTAATGAGGGAGGCAGAGGCGTTAACAGGCACTAATGATACAGGATGGGAAATGCTGCGGACACCGAGCGTTTCAAGTGCTCTAGGAGCACATAGGTCCACACAGTCTTTAGGCAGGGGAGGCTTCTTGGAGGATTCAGTGTCTCAGGCGAAATCAGAAAGGATAGTGGAAACTGTCTAGATAGCAATCTGAGGAAGATGGGAATCCAGGTAGAGAGAAGAATGAATGTTGATCCAGCCTGGTAGACAGAGAGCGGGAGTTGTTGTGAGATTGAGGGAAAAATAAAAACCATAACACGGTTGAGTTTGGAATGGGACTCGTCTTCTGAGATCCCAGGAAATGAGGCAGGAGCATTCAGCAGGGACCAGAGCTGGTTGAGGAGTTGGTGTGATGTTCTGAGGCTGCAGAAACTTAAACACCTGTAAGCCAAGTGGCCTTTGGATCCTCCTTCCTAACTGACAATAATGATCTCTCTTCTTTCCTTCCTGTCTTTGATTATTACTCATTCTTTCTTTTCATGCATTAAACATTTACTTTGTACTTGGCATCGTTCAGAGCGTTGGGGACATACTGCAGAGCTAGACCAGCAAGGTGCCCAAGAGTTCACGTATTAATGAGAGTATTGTCAACAACAGTAAACTGTTGTGGAAAGCCGTGAACTGTAATTCTGGATAGGGATAAGAGCTTTGAAGAGAATAAAACAGTTCCGTGATGACAAGTGGAGTGTTGGTGCCCTGTAGCCTGGGTGGTGAGGGGAGGCGTCCTGCTGCTGTCGGCATCTGTTTTGTGAATGTAATAATAAAGGTTCGTAAGGAGACGGGAACGAAAGTTGCCTAATTGAATGTTGAGGCTTTTTGGTTATGGTCTGTGATCCAGAAATCTCTCTTGTCAGTGGGCAGTTGACTCAGCCAAATTTTAAAGGATCAAATGAGTCTTTTTCAGACTGTGGATATTGGGTATGGGACCAACCTGGTAATGATTGCTGTCAGAAATCATCACCTCTTTGAGCTGAGATGGGAATAACAAGAAGGTGCTGTCTGCATTACGAGCTGGAGGCAGAGGGAACAACCCATACAAAAGCCTTGAGTTGGTAGTTAGCTTGGGTGTTTGAGGAACCAAAGACCAGGGTGGTTGGAGCCTGGTGAATGGTGGGAAATGAGTAGGCAGGCAGGGTTTGGGATCAATAGGGTGGTGCCAGCCATGACAGGGTGCTTGGATTTTATTGTGGTTGCACCTGGGGCCTTAGGTAGGGTGGTAAAGTATTCCTGTTTGATTTTGGGGGAGGGGCTGTGCTGGGTCTTCACTGAGGGGCTTGGACTTTCTCTAGTCTGACATGCATTTTAAAGGTGACTGGAAAATGACTGTTGTATGGAGGGTGGATTGTAGGGGCAAGGGCAGAAGGAGAAGGAAAGTAGCTGTGTTTATTTCACTGGTCAAGGTAAGAGATGCCATGGGGGGCTTGTTCTTTAGAGTGGTAGCCACAGAGCAGAGGTAGATAAACTTGAGATGTATTTTGGAGGCAGCGTCGATAACACTGGATTGACCATGGGACACAGGGAAATGAAGACATCAAGAAAAACCCCTAAGATTCTTATTTGTGGTTGTGTGGATGGTAATGCTGTTTATTTGCTAAAATGGGCATGAGTGAAGGGGGCATGGGATGGATGGGGGGAGTGGTGGGAATCACTCACTGTGTTGGCAGTGTTAAATTTAAGATGTGTTGTAGACATATATCAATGAATGGACATTATATGTAGGCAGTTGGATAAACATTTTGGAACTTCAGGGAGACCAGTGCTGATAACACTAGCTTGCAGTAATGTTTGGATAAGATGTAGTTGGTAGATCTAGGGAGCACTGAGAGAGAAGAGAGTAGAGGGGCCTAGGTGCGAGCCCTGGTGCGTCTCAGCACCTGCTGCCCAGTTGCTAAGTCACGTCCGACTCTGTGATCCTGTGAACTGCAGCATGCCAGGCTCTCCTCAACACTTAAGTGACATTGGTAGTCTGAGTTAAGAGGGGAAAATGCCTTCAGAATGACTTCCAGTGAGGAAATAGGAAAACCAAGAGAATATGGTGGAATCTAGAGGAGAATATTTAGAAGAGGAGGAGCGTTGTCAACTGTGTTGAATTCTGCTTGAAAGTCAAGATGAGGAAGAAAAGGGATCACAAAGATGGCAGAGAGGTCATTGGTGAGCTCAGCACAAAATTTCCTTGCCGTGGTTGGGTTAGAAACTGGCTGGAGTGTGTTTAGGAAAGAATGGAATGTGAGAAAGTGGAAAGTCACTAGAAAATGTTTTGAGAAACATTTGATGTTTGTTTGTTTATATTGTATGCACAATCAGCCACTTGAGGGTGGAAGGGTTTGAAGTGAACTTTCATAATTTATCCATATTCTACAACTCCTACACTTGAATTTGTAAATAGTTTTAAAGTCTCATATTTCTCTGTTTTGATATTTATGTCATCCAACAAAAATTGGTGACAACATGAAGGTAAGGACACAGTCGATTTTAGACTTTTTTTCCCTTCGGCTGCACAGCATGTGGTATCTTAGGGCTCTAACCCATGCCCCTTGCATTGGAAGCAGGGGTCTTAACCGCTGGACCACCAGGGAAGCCCCCATAGTGTCCCTTGGTAGTGGTGTAAATGGAAAGCGTTCAGAGGCCTTGAACTCTACTGCCGACTATTGGTTTCCTTTCATAAATTTCATTTCAGTGTGTGAGAAAGCTCTTTCTTGCCCTTATGATGTTCTACTTTAGATACTGTCTCTTAGACTCTAGCTGCTTTCCCTATATACATGTGTGTATGTGTGTGCTCAGATGCTGTGTTGTGTCTGGCTCTTTGCCACCCCATGGACTGTAGCCCGCCAGGCTCCTCTGTCCACGGGAGTCTCCAGGCAAGGATACTGGGGTGGGTTGCCACGCCCTCCTCCAGGGGATCTTCCCGACCCAGCGATCGAACCTGACTTTCTTAAGGGCTCCTCCACTGGCAGGCAGATTCTTTACCACCAGGGCCACCTGGGAAGCTCTGCCTCCGTATACTATAATAAGTGTATATTACCAATTCTAAGGCAAATGTTAAAAAATGTTAACATCTCTGACAGTGACAAAAAATATCAATGGTGTCTTAAGTGAGATGAAATGCAGTGTGATATGAATATCTAAGAGTGTGTGTACACATGTATGTACGTACATTGAATGAGATCTGGCCTACTACTGGTTAGATAAATTTGCAATCAGTATGCACAAGTAGACTAGTTACCTGAAGCCTGTCATCGTTAAGAATACTTCTACCATTGGATTCCTGTATGTTTTACTAGTTACCCATGTTTTCCTTAGAGACCATCAGTGCAAAAGAGGTGGGATGAGGAGGAAAGCTGACTAGCACAGATTTAGCCTCTTACTTACTTTGAAATCCTTTCTTCAATGAATGTTACTGGTAAATGTCAACTCTTTTTCACAAAAGGAATTTGAATGCGTTTTTCTCTTTGGAGTCTTTCCCCCTATTTCCTTTCTCTGTCTCGAAAATATAACATTCACGTTCACGTGGCTACAACAGTAGGTTTTTTGTATGAGAGCCCGTAGTTTTCTTGTCAGTATTAACGATTACACTTTTTTCCCCTTAAGGAAATGCCTTCTGGTTGCTTCACCACTATTGTTTTAGATGTCTTATTTTGGATTTTTCTTCTGAAACTTTCCTGGAATGAAAAACAGTGGTTGTTGAAAAGAGCTTAATTTTATCTGGTATTTTTAATCCCTTGTAAGTGCAACTGGAATTGCCACATTTTAAATGTTATTTTTAGTGTTTTTTACATGGAACAGTGATGAATATTTTTAGCCTACGTAAAAAATATATTTGTACAATTGTAAAGCTGTTCATTATAGGTGACCATCTTATAAAAATTCATTTCCATTTTGGTTCATAGGTGATATAATTGCTAAAATTTAGGTACTTTGTTTTATATTGTTGTATTTTTTTTTGTTTATTGTTGATAATTTAATATTTCTATTTAGTATTTATTGCTGTTGTATTAGATAGTCTTGTATTGGCATTTTCTGATGTAAAATTGTAGCTTTGCCTTGGAATATTTTATTCAGACACATTTTCAGAAAACCTTTTCTTAATCACTAGTACATTTTTCTGGTCTTTGGAAGACCAAATTCAAAGTGAATAGAATCTCCAGTGCTTTCAAAGCTTTTGAAAGGGATTTCATTTCAACAGTTGATTATAAATCTGAGATTTTTCGGTTTCCATTCTTATTCCTTCCTTATCCAGAGGAATACATAATCTTGTCTCATCATGTATAGTACTAATCCTAGTTTTGATCAGGAGTAAAGCTTGTAAAGTTGGTTCATTTCTGTATTTTTTTTATAGTCATGGGATACAGTTTATGAAGGATTATGATGCGTAAATAGAGTTCATCCCTTTGAAAATAATGTTGGGAGAGGAGAGCAGTGGTAAGGAGTGGTCCTCATCTCTCAGATCTGAGCTTGAGGTTTTGTTTAGTATAAACTTCTGTTTTATATTTAACATATTTCACCAGAATCCTATATTTTTATTTAATACTGATAGTCATGATTCTCTACTGCTTTGTAGTTCTGTTTGAGTACAACAGTATTCTGAGGTGCAAAGCCAGGTATAGGTGTAAATCTTATAAAGTGTTAGGCTTTGTAAAGTGTTAGGCTTTCATAAGCTTATACAGTCTCACCTCATACATTCCTAGCTATCAGTAATGTTTTTTCCTGGATTTTCTTCTCAGCAACCCGATAGCAGAAGGGTCAACTCTTCTGTTGGATTTTCTGTTTTGCAGCATACAAGCAATGACCCATATTGCTTTGTGGAATTTTATGAACACAGAGATGCAGCTGCTGCATTAGCTGCTATGAATGGGAGAAAAATTTTGGGAAAGGTAAGACAGTGAGTGATGGCGCCTTGTGAGTGTGTCTGTCTGCACGTCAGATGAGCTTGTGTTCTTTCCTAGCAAGTTTCTAAACAAATACTCAGCTCTGCCAAGTGATGGTTTTGTTTTCTTCAGCTTAGTGCTTTTACCAAAATTCATTCTGCTTGATAAATGATTTAATAAGTGGTAAGTGTTATGAGTCATAATGACATGCCTAATAATTTTATGAAATATAATCTTTATTTTTAGGAGGTCAAAGTAAACTGGGCAACAACACCAAGTAGCCAGAAAAAAGATACTTCCAGTAAGTACTCCTGCTGCATTTTACGGAAGAGTTCTGAAATTATCCTGGCAGCATTACCAGCTCACATAGGGCTTTTTCTTCCTTTTAGTGTTGCCTAAAAAAGGTTTAGTCCCTGACTTCTTAAATATTTGATTACTAAATGCTTTGATTTCAGATCATTTCCACGTGTTTGTTGGAGATTTGAGTCCAGAAATTACAACAGAAGATATCAAATCAGCATTTGCCCCCTTTGGTAAAATATCGTAAGTATCATAATCAATACTATATTCAATAGCAATAGGCAAAATTGTATATGATGAACTTGTATCAGAGTTAAGAGTTTCTTTGCCTAGTTAGTGTGATTTTTTTTGTTTGTTGTTTGTTTGGTTTTTTTGATTAGTAGATGTTGTTGAAAATGTTAATGTCATTTCAATGTTTTGGGGTCTTGTTTTCATCTAATCCTGTGTATAACATGTGAAAAATTTTTAAGTGATTCTATTTGTTATCTTTAAAGCAGATGTTTGGGTGGTAATGCCTATTAATAAAGTCTAGCTTTTGTCAAATGTTTTCAAAATTTGGTGGTTAAAGATACAGGTTAACCAAGATTAAATGTGATTTCGGTTGTGTATTAAACTTTTATAGAAGGATTTATAAGTGTGGAAAAGCAGGGAAATCCTTGGGTTTATTGTGAAATTAGAAATGTACATGTTATTATAATGATAAATGTGTTTTGATATTTTAGCTGAAAAGTAGCACTATTACAGTATTAAAATGTTTCAATGTCTGAGCCATAAATGTGGGATTTATTAGTAAATTATTTTTTGTTAGTGGTGTTTGATTCTGCTAGTTAGGGCTGAATTGTGGTTTAATTTATTTTTTTAAACAAAGTTTATGCTCAGATTTTACTGTATTGTTACTTGATCTAATATATTGGAAAATTAAAAGTGCTTACCAGTTCTATAAAATGTTTATCACAATTTATCTAATTAAAATCACATTATTTTATGTATTTATTTCCTGTAGATTTAAGTTAAATGTTTTAGTACTTTACAAAAATATGTTTCACCTAAGAACAACAATATTTCTCTCTACAATTTGTTGTTCTATAGATTTTATTTGATAGATGTAATTCTTAATTTTCTATTTTGATATTTGCTTTGCTTTTTAATCTCTAATAAATGTGGTAAGTAGTACTGTTTTAAAAATCAGTGTAAAAAATAATACAGGTTGCTTTTCAATCTTTATTTATACCTGAGACCTGCAGTTTTTCTAAAGTCCAAGTCACAATTAAAAGTAATAGCATTCTGGTTATTTTGCAGAATTGCTCATAAGAATGGACAGGATCTTGAAGGCTAACTGCAAGGAACTGTGCACACTGGAACTCAGTTGTAGATTTTTTTCTCATTTCTATTTATTATTATTATACATTATTTATATATACATATTTTAGTATTTACATTTTAACATTCTATATTCAGTGGAGTTCTATATTTCCAATCATTTTAACTTACTCACTAAAATTTCTGTGTAAATTTGTTGTTTTCGTACTGGTGTGCTTAGCATTGTTGTTAGTTTTTTATTCTCCTTTCTTAAATTTCTGAAAATGTCAATTTTTCAAAATTTACAGCTGCCCAAACTCCAAAATGATGGTAGAGAATTGACCAAGAAAAATAAAGAAATCTGTTAACAGGCCATGTATGCCTTTTTAATTCCTATTTTTTCCTCTTTTTCAATTTTTTAATATTTCATATATTTTGTATCACTAGGCAGAAAACATTTAACTATTTAGAGTTTGCATGGTAAAGTAGTTAGCATTGTTACAGTAATTTATAGAACCAGTAAACCTTAGAGGACACTAGCCAATAGAATATTAGCAAAGGAAACTATTGTTCCTATTAATCTTCAGATTTGAGCATTTAGTTTAGAAAGCACAGGCTATTTGATTAGGTTGCATGTTTATTACATGTTTTTGTCCTACTGCTTTTTTCTAACAGGTAAAGAAGCGTTAGGGAGAGTTCAGGAATGGCTATAGTTAATTAGGGCTAACTGAAATTTTATTTAAAAAAATGCTCACAATACAGTGTGTGTGGTTCCTTTTAGTTTTTATTTTGAGGATGACTCTCACTTCCCTCATTTAGCTGTGCTTCTTTTCACAGGGATGCCCGAGTAGTTAAAGACATGGCAACTGGAAAATCCAAAGGCTATGGCTTTGTGTCTTTTTATAATAAACTGGTATGTTCTTTCAGCTCAATTTGAATTTAATACAAAATTCAGTCATCAGTAAATGTTTTTGGATGTTAACAACAAACACGATGATTGTGTGATTTTGTTTGAGTAATAGTGCATAGTTTTATTTTTTTTCCGTAAGCTTGGAAATAAATGGGAAAAGATAGACTGGTTATAAGGTGGTTATAATGAAGAATATTGAAGTTTGCAATTGCGACTTGGTATGGATAAGATGTGTTAGAAGTAAAACTCAAAATTAGGACACATGAGCTAATCTCAGAATTTGGAGGGAAGTTAAGTTATATTTGTCTTAACCATGAAAATCTCAATTTTAACTTTTAAATTATATTATCTGTATCTTTGTAGCTGGGATGGTAATGACTACAACAAGTTATATAAATGAAATTTTAGGCAATTCACATTGATATTTGCATGTATTTAAGAAAAAGGCATCAAATATCTAAGCATTTGCATTAACTGTAACATCAGATAATACAGTGGGCTTTGATATTAACATTTTCAGTTTCAACAACAAATTGCACGTTTTACTGAAGCAGTAAGATAAAGGGACGAGAGTTGTATTCTTTTTTTTTTTCGACTGTTCTAGGTCTTAGTTGTGGCACGTATGATTTCTAGTTTTCCCTGCACAAGCAGGCTGTTTAGTTTGAGGCATGCAGGATCTAGTTTCCTGACCGGGGATTGGTTCCAGGCCCCCTGCATTAGGACCCCGGAATCCCAGCCACTGGACCACCAGGGAAGTCCTTGGAGTCATATTCTTTTTTTGCTTAGATTCATTGCAAATGCACATTAACCTCTATAATCTAAATTCATTTTGGGAGAATTCCCTGGTGTTCCAGTGATTAGGACTCTGCAGTTCCACTGCAGAGCGTATGGATTCGATCTCTGGTTGGGGAACTAAGATCTTGCATGCTGTGTGGCATGGCCAAAAAAAAAGTTTTTTTACAGCATTCCAACTCTTCTTAAGCTTTAAATCTCGTGTCTAGTCATGTGTGCATACGTATGTGCTAAGTCACTTCAGTCGTGTCCAACTCTTTGTGATCCCAGGGACTATAGCCCACCAGGCTCCTCTGTCCATGGGATTCTCTGGGCAAGAACACTGGAGTGGGTTGCTGTGTCCTCCTCTGAGGGATCTTCCTGATCCAGAGATCAAACCCTTCTCTCTTAGTCTCCTGCATTGGCAGGCGGGTTCTTTACCATTAATATCACCTGGGAAGCCCTGTCATAATCATAATCCATTGCTATTAGAATGTAGATTTGGTAAGGGGTAAGGTGATTTAGACCATAATGTCAAGAGTTTTTAGATACTCTACAGTAAAAGTTATGTTATAGATCAACAAGATATTTAAAAACAACTGTGTCCTTTTTCTTGGTTATCAGTGGGATTGTGATTTTTCTTCTTGCATGTTTGAATTATAAATTTCCCTTGATGCTTAAATGCTGTTCCTAGTATCTTAAAATCTATAAGTAAACATTGCTGTAATGAGTCACTTACTGCTAAGATTTTTGTCTCCAGAAATGCCAACATTTTATTTCATCTTAGTCTTGTATACCGTTATTTTCTGTGTTGGTAATCGCTCTTTTCTATTTTTTCTTCACAGGATGCAGAAAATGCAATTGTGCATATGGGAGGTCAGTGGTTGGGTGGTCGTCAGATCAGAACCAATTGGGCCACACGTAAACCCCCTGCACCTAAAAGTACACAAGAAAGTAAGATACGTCTGCTTTTATATGTTTTTAAGGATACTTCACAGAATAATCTGTTAGTATAGTCTTAATTTCTTAAAATTTAATTTTGTTAGCATTGTAAGACTCATTTAATTTTCAATATATTTATCTGAAAATAACTGGGCTTTGATGTAAGTATATTTGAAGCTGTGAACCAGCTGATTTTATAGATCAAATCAGTAGTGTCGAGGAGAAAAAAGTTCTGTTTCTCCCCACAGTGAGGCATATCTCATATTTTTATAGTATTACAATAATCCATTTTATAATGCTGCATAACTGTCAACACTGTTTTCTTTCTGCACAAAGATAACACTAAGCAGCTGAGATTTGAAGATGTAGTAAACCAGTCAAGTCCAAAAAACTGTACTGTGTACTGCGGAGGAATTGCTTCTGGCTTAACAGGTATAGTGTCTCTTTTTTCTAGTCCTCTTCTCTGTGGAGCGTCATCATCATTAGTAGTGATTTCTTGATAACATGAACCTTAAGTATTTTACATTTTTTGTACATTTATTTTTCAGATCAGCTTATGAGGCAGACCTTCTCACCATTTGGGCAAATTATGGAAATCAGAGTTTTTCCAGAAAAGGGCTATTCATTTGTCAGGTATAATTCTACCTTAATCCATTCCTTTCAGTTATATTATTTGATCCCCTCAAGTATGTGTTTGTTATTTTAGTACTTCTTTGCAATATAGAACTTTAAACTGCCTACATGATGTGCTTTAGGAAAATACCAAGTTGATAGGTTTAAACTAAGGGGTTTCTGTGTTACTAAGTTTAAAAAAAACAAACCTCCTTCTCTTCCTCTCTTAGATTTTCTACCCATGAAAGTGCGGCTCATGCTATTGTTTCGGTGAATGGTACTACAATTGAAGGACATGTTGTTAAATGCTATTGGGGTAAAGAATCTCCTGATATGACTAAAAACTTTCAACAGGTAATTCGATTTTTCATAGCACTTTTTAAGGTTTCCATCTTACATATCTACATAAGAGCTTTAGAAAGTCTGTAAAAGAAAGCAAAAAATAAAGCATATAGCTGCTTTCAGTTGATTTTATTAATGCTATTTCAAAAGTGATTATTTTACGGTATTAACTGAATCTTAATACTTTCTTTTCACAGGTGTCACCACCCCAATAAACTTAGACAATGATAAATAACAGAGTCCTATTCACATAAGGGTGCTTACTTAGTTTTTCTCTTCCTTGTCTCCCACTTTCTTCAAATACTGTGTTTCTTACTCGTTTCCTAAAAGAGTAATTTGCTTTTTCCTAGGTTGACTATAGTCAGTGGGGCCAGTGGAGCCAAGTTTATGGAAACCCACAACAGTATGGACAGTATATGGCAAATGGGTGGCAAGTACCGCCTTACGGAGTATACGGGCAGCCATGGAATCAACAAGGATTTGGAGTAGAGTAAGTTGTTTGAGTTTTTCCAGTGTAGAAACAGATAAAGTTCCAACAAAAGGAATCTAAAAGTATGTTTTCCTGGGGAGAATCTATTTAAATACACTGAACAATGTGGCGTTATAAGCATTGTAGAAACTATGAAAAATGCTGAAACTTTGCTTTTTATAATCTAGGTGGAAAGGGAGGTTGGGATAGCATTTGAAGTGTCCTACTATCTCTGTGAGCAGTTGGTAGAGTTTGACTTGTATTTCTAATACTCCATTTTATCTACTTATTTACTTTTGCATGGAAAAGATCTTTTGTCTTATTTATGTTCAGAAATTTAACGCTTTATGCCTATTAGCTTGTGTGAGAAGTCTCCCAAGATTTATCTAATACAAAGCAGCTTACCCTTTTTGTTTTATGGATAGATTGCATTGTTCCTTGTACTTTTTCCCCCTGGGCCAGCCTAGATTATTATTCTCAGCAGTTGCTCCTCCCCCTTCCAGTGTAAACATGTGTTTTTTAAATTGCTTATAAATTGATATGCGTATCTACCATGTGTGCAATATTTTGAGGGTAGATGTGTTGAATCATTTGTCATTTTTTTTAAAAAATCAGCTTTGAGATATTTATCAGACAACATTATGTTGTCTAAACAAAAATTTAAGACTAATATTAGAATATATATTTTGCATATGTGGCTAGATATGTAACATTTATTTCTTTGATCTTTGTTGTAAATATCTTGATTTCTTGTCTGTTCTGTGATTAGGCTCTGCTTGATTTGTGTATAAATGTGTAGATGATTTTTTTATTTGTGTTTGCTGAATTTTTTTTTTTTTTCTTTCTTCCAAGTCAATCGCCTTCAGCTGCTTGGATGGGTGGATTTGGTGCTCAGCCTCCCCAGGGACAAGCCCCTCCCCCTGTAATACCTCCTCCCAACCAAGCTGGATATGGCATGGCCAGTTACCAAACACAGTGAGCGGGGACTCTAAACAAAATGTAATTCATGATAGCTTCAATTTCCTTGTGACACTCTGAAGACATGAAAGTAGACATCGGAAAATGAAAATATTTATTTTAAAAATTGAAATGTTTGGAACCTTTAGCACAGCTTTGCTTTGGTGAAGGACACATGTCTTCTAGTTCTGCCTTTTTAAGTTTTTGTTCATGATGGATATGAACATGATTTTTCTTTGTGTATAAAAACTAAAATAAAGTGAATAAAAAATTCTGACTACAAATTTTGATATAATAGGAGAAATGGGTAATACATTTTGATTCTTAGATACTATTCCATTTTTATCTTGCTGTTCAGTATTTTAACTCACTGTGTTTTTAAAAGAGCAAAAAAGGGAGGATCGTGAAAACTGGGAATCACATATAAGTTCATCCTGAATTTTGATACTCCCCTCCCCCGAGGTGGACCACATTCGAAGTCAGCAGGAAAAAAAAGTGATATTGAGAAGAAATGCATGATTTTGGAGTCGCTTTGGAGGAAATACTTTCTCTGTGCCTAAAGAAACTGAAACCAGACTGATAAAAGAAATTTTGTAACCTAAATAAGGAACAGCATTGTCTGACTTACTTGAGCAAATGTTGGTGGTCCACATTAAGACATATTTTTAAAACTTTAAAAAGTGTTCATAATTAAAACTGTAGTAAACTACATTTCATTTTGGGGGGAAAATCCCAAGTATGGTGTTTGTATTAAAGTCAGACAGTCATACCTATGCTTTTACATGAAGTTTAAATGATATACATTGTAAATATTGAATACAGTGTTTTAAAAGCATGCTTCAACATAGAAGTAGCAACAATGTAATTATTTGAAGTAACACTTAACACACTCCACTGCATTGAATGCAATGGATGAATAAGAATGTTTAAGACTGACATTTCCAAGGTTGGCTACTATGTAAGATTAAAATTATACAAATGACAGAAAAAGCCTTAATTTTAATTTCATACAAATCTGATGCATTAGTACATTATAAAATGTCATTGGAAATCAGATTTTTTTTTTCTTTTTTCTGTTTTTGCTTTACATCATCTGGTATGTAAATACCTTGATTAAAACCTTGTAAGCCTATTTCAAGGTTCCTATAAGTTGTATAGTACAAGTGTTTTTAAAAAATCTTGGGGTGTTTTTTAAAATTAGATATATTTTGCCCAAGAATTTTTTTAACAAGATTGTTAAAACATCTTATTTAGACAGTTTGATGTACCAATTTATAATTGGATATTCAGCTTAAATAGTACACAGAGTTGTGACTTTTATTTTTAATTAATTTTTTCCTTGTGGGTAGTGTGCATGGGATGACAAGTCTGAACAGAGGCTGAGCTGTATGAGTGCAGAGTTTGTAAATGATTTGATTGGGTTAGATTAACACTTGATTCTGAGGTATTTTTCAGGCCATGTGCATACAATCTGCCTCAAATTTCTATCATAACAGGAATGTAAAAGAAAAATTCTATTTATTTGAATTTTGACAGCTAGGGGGTGCAAATGTTTAGGCAGTGTATTTGAAATGTTTTGAAGTCTGGGCACCAAAATGAAAAAAACTCTTTATAGTTATACTAATAAGATACAGTTAGCACCCACAAATTACTGGTTTTTAAACTTTTGAAGTCTTACAATTAGCTTTAAAATAATGGTTTTGTAAATTGGTCTCCACAGTAATTTTGGTATTTTCCTTCTTCCCCCATTTAGAAATTTATTAAATATGAAAATTTGCAGAGTCCTAAGTTGTTCGTCTTCAGGCCAAATTTTTTATGGCACTTTAGTTTTAACCACAGTACTCATTTATTACATTCATCTATTATAAAATTTACCCTTATTTCTTTTGTTCATGGTTGGTATCTTTGGGGGATGTTTTGGAAAATTTATATTTTATAAGGAGAACACTCAAATTATATCAATTATGCCTCCTAGTTAAAATTTTCTTAAATATATGTGAAACTTGAACTAAACTCTCAGTTTGCCTTTTTTGGTCTGCCAGTAAATTAAGTAGCTAGTTGCAACACCAGACTAGTTAATACTGCATAGGAAACATATGACTGAAATCTTTTCATCTTAACCTGAAAGAACAAGATTACGTGCTCAGTTCAGTTAGTGGAAATTATTAATATTTCTTACTAAATGGTTTTTAAAATATAAAGCTACTTATCCAAATGAAATGTACCATTTTAAAATACAACTATCAAGCTAACACAGACTCAAGAACTATTTTATAACACAGAGTGAAGTCAGTGCTATCTTGATCCAGTTCAAGCCTAAGAATCGTTGCCTTTTCCATGTTCATTAAAAACAGCAGCAGAGATTCTTTGGCAAGCAAGAAAATGTTTATTTCATAATCATTTTGAGATTTATTTTTGGTGATGTGTTTCTGCCTACCACCTTCTTTGCTCTGATCTCTCTACTAGTATTTCCCCTCATGCCATTCCCACTTGATTTTCATGTCTGCTGGCAGTGAGAGGCTGAAATGACTGGCCAACTTAAGCCAAAGCTGTAAACCACAGTTGAAGTAAGTCTTTCAATAAAGACTAGACTATATGATGAGTGACTTTTTCTTATTGTCGTTTATTACATAATTATCCTTCCAGGCTGCCATGAAATAGGCAATTCCATTTTGTTTTACATTATTAGTTAAGGTATATGAAGTTTACATATATTTAGGACCTATTTCTGTGTTCTGTATAAGTCATAAACATCCATTTGCTTTGCTGGATTAAAATTTTATTTCTGGATATGGAGGAGTAGAAATTTGCATCCTTCTAAAAACGTATGTTCTGTTGAATGTTCAGTTCAGTCGCTCAGTCGTGTCCAACTCTTTGCGACCCCATGGACTGCAGCACGCCAGGCTTCCCTGTCCATCACCAACTCCTGGAGCTTGCTCAAACTCATTTCCATCGAGTTGGTTATGCCATCCAACCATCTCTGTTGATTATTAATATAGTAAAATCTCATTATAGAGTCCACAAGTAATGGGGACCATAAGTTTACCATTTCTGGATTGATCTTTGGTAGTGTTATGAGTAAAGATTATGCTCAATAAACAGAAAAAGCAGAAAAAAAATTTAATAAATTGTCTAAACACCTTTCTAACAGATGTGCCCAAATTATATCTTACCTATTCATTGAAAAATCAGCATTTGGGCTTCTACTAAATACATTATAAACATTGAATTTGCATTTTTAGTATGTATTGAAAAGATACGGAAATGATTTAGACATTTACTATTTATGTAAAGCCTTCAGAGGTTCAAATGAGTGGGTTTTGGTAAATAAGCATTCTGTGTATAGTAATAAATTGTCCTACTTACTATGTTCAGATAGATCACTACAGATTGTATTACCATCTCTTCCACTTTCAAATAAGGAAATTATGTGAATAATTATGACATTTAAAAAATGTGTCATTCCAGGTTGTGGTTAATTAGTGTGGTATTTAAATGCCATATGAAACCTAAGCTTGTGCCTACCTAAATTGGGTCTATTTTGGGAGGGGGGCTATTTTTAAATAACTGCAGATAAACTAGAAACCATAATTCACAAGGTACTTTGTATAAATATCTCTTTGAGGGGCACAAATAATTTTAGAATTGCCCAAATGTGAAGAAGATTCAGTTTATATCTAGAAAATAGAGGAAGGGGAATTATATGTATTTGTCTTAGAAAAAGGGGGTGTTAATAATCACCCTTTTGTTAAATTAGACTTGTTTGAAGGAAGAGATTAATCCACGTAACAAACATAAATTTGGCTTTTGAACAATGTCAATTACGGTAACAGGTAATGAAAGGTACATATGCAATAAATGAATCCCTTAGTGTTCCAACTCAGTTCTAATACATAATGCTGAATTTTCACTTTTCCAGATGGTTGCATTTTCAAAATCCAATAACCATTGTTTCTTTGAGATATTCCTCTGAGAAAGTGATTCACATCTAATATTTTGAAGTCGGCTTGAAAAATTAACCAGACATGACTAAAACTGAACTGTAATTGGATAGTTGTCAAAAGAAAGCCAGGATGGTTTTAACACTGAAAAGTAATCTCTTGGGGTCAAGCCGTCCAGTTGTTGATTTTGCAACTGGGCTTTGTTTGCCTGTGGACCTCCTGTTTTGACTCTTGAGTCACGCTTGTGAACTGACAAGAGTTTGCAAACAGCCTGTTATCAGGTGGTTCTGCAGAACTATTTTTTTGAGGTAAACCAGGTTTTCCTATGTATAACTAGTATCCTAACTTTACCGACCGTGATGTTTTTTTCCCTTCTGTTCCTGTATCTTTCTTCCTTGGGTTTCAATACATCAATGCAGAGAAGTCCACAAAACCATCTGGATGAAATGGGCATGAAAGGTATAGCCATATGCAACTGTGCCTGTTCTGAGAATTGATACTAATACTGTATAAATTTCAGATTTTCACAGTTTACTGGCTAGGAGTTGTGAGTTGAGTTGTTCCATATGTGGAGTATATGATTGCTTTTGCTCATGAAAAGAAAGCCAATTCACAGGTCTTAACATAGCTAAACAAAACATTTAATAACTTTAGTCTTTTTTGAAGAGGACTAGGAGGAACATTTTTAACTAAATTGGATAGGTTATATTAATATTTTTGTATAGGGCCCCATTCATCCTTGGTTATCTGTTTAATGAGATTGGGAAAGGAATAGTGGCTAGAGTAATAAAGATGGGAGAGGCCCTTGATTCTGAAGAGTGTTAACACGGGAATAAGACAGTCCTGGGCAGGTGTAGTAAACCATGCATGATGTCAGCACTTGGGTGCTGATACTTAATATGGTAGCATACACTCTGCATATTTTGTCAAGAAGACTGAACCAGGTTATTGAAAATAAAATATTACCAACATATTTGCCTTATTTACTGGCCTTGATCATTTCAGCTTCCCTTAATGTGTATTTTTATTTTTGTACCTATGTGTGTATTAGAATGTTGGGCACTTGGTGCTGTTTTATTAA